CACACACACACACACACACACACACACACACACACACACACACAGCTAAATAAATAAACCTGACTTTATAGTGATTCTCTCTTTTTTCAGGATTTTCTCTTACAGAGGTCCAGAAAAAGCAGGCTATGCTTAATGCCTGTAAAAGCCATCCAGCTGGGAAACCCAAAGGTATGCACCAAGCGTTCAGGGAATATAAGACCCCTTAGGTCACCTTAAGTCTGTAATATCAGTCTTAAGATGTTCTTCCTCTCACCCATGGCTTGGATATGGGTCACCTCACTATGAATAATATACAAGCACTGATCTATAATGCAAACAGCTGCACTTTTTACCTGTATTCTTCAAGCATTTCAAAATCACTTCTAGGAATCACAGTAAAGGTTTGAGGAGGACTAAAAATAATCTTCCTTCTACAGGACAGCAGAGTTATTTATCAACAGTCCTACAAACACTCAACAAAACAACAAATGTCAGTGTTCCAATCACTTCTATTTTGCTATTCTTTTAAAAAAAACAAAAAAAAAAAAACACCTTTCTTGATAGGCTTTTAATAATGCAACTAGACAGGTGTTGGGTTTTATTGAAATAAAGACAAAGTAAAGGCAATTGGCAATAATTAGTGAATTAAAACACTATGTGTGTTAAAAAGAGAAACTCAGAGCAGTTGTGTATGGATTTTAATATCACTTTGTTGGTATGACATTCCATCAACCCTAACATGAATGATGATGTAATTTCTCTCAGTGGCTACACTGTACATTGTGTGGATACATCATCTTCCTGGCTGTTTATTTAATTGGCAGTCAGATGTTTCTTGCAGTTTCTGAAAAGAAGATAGACAGGACGGATACAGGACCAAACTTTCTGCGTCTATGTTAATGGACAGTTGATGCTTTTAATGCAAACTCAATCTGTCAATGATTACATGCTGTCACAATAAATTCAGCGTCATGCATTTCACAACAGTAATGTTAAACTGACCACTCACTGTTCACTAACAGAAATATTGTTGTTATTCACTTCTTTTTCAGTTGCTTCTACTTTGCATCCGAGTTAAAAGAGTTGTTTTAAGAATAAGCATAGGAAGATAAGTTGAGATAAGACAAGTTAGTAAACGCCATGATACAACAAGACACGACATGACAAGACAAGACAAGACAAACAAAAGTAAAAACAAATAAGAATGTATCAAATATGTTATACACAAGAAAAATGAACTTTACACTATACAACTAGTATGAGCTTAGAAATAAAAATATGAACTATACAAGATCAAATAATTAATGAAAAATGCTCCCCTTTTCTAGTATGTGTTGATGGTATAACTTAAAGCTGGGATTGGCACTTGATACGACAAGACACAAAAAGATACAAGAAAAGCTACGATGAGACAAAACAAGACACCAAGATACGAAAAAACAACAAGATACGTCAATAAAGACACAAGACAAGATGCGATACCACACAACAAGATGAGTCAATGAAGACACAACAAGATAAGACCGGACCCAACAAGACATGAAAAGACTAGACAAGATATGACAAGACAAGATACGATGAGACACAAGACAACTAGATACGACAAGACAACAAGATACGTCAATGAAGACAAGACAAGTGTCACGAGGCATGATAAGGACTCAAGCGCAGACAGTAGAAGAGTGAAAAAAAGGTGATTTATTCCACACCAAAAGGAAATAATTACCACCCAACAGAGAGTCCAAGCACAAGAGACGAGGGAGGAAATCCAGAGGGAAAACGAGGCAGGGGCAGGCAGACGGGGAAACCGGGAACAGGACGAGACGACCGGGCGGGTAGAACAAACAAAACAATGACCTGGCAGTGAGTGAGTGAGGGACAGGGGTTTAAGAAGTGACTAGAACAGGTGCGGAGAGTTGTGCTGATGAGGGAGTGCTTAATTACAGATAAGGGACAGGTGAAGGGAGTTGGACTGGTGCTGAGGGAGTGACTGAGTTGAAGAGTGAGGAGCTATAGAAAAACACACAACACATAAGGCAAAGCCTGATTGTGACAACAAGAGGAGAAACAACAAGACACAACAAGATATGTTAATAAAGACACAACAAGACAAGATACGACGAGACACCACAAGATAAGACAAGACTAGACAAGATACGACAAGACACAACAAGATACTACAAGACAATATACTACAAGACACAACGAGATACGTCAATAAAGACAGAAAAAGATACAAGACAAGATACAACAAGAAACAAAAAGATACGACAAGACGCAGCAAGATACGACGAGACACAACAAGATAAGAGAAGATACAACAAGATATGACAAGAGGAGAAACAACAAGACACAACAAGATATGTTAATAAAGACAACAAGACAAGATACGACGAGACACAAGATAAGACAAGACAAGATACGACGAGACACAACAAGATACTACAAGACAAGCTACGATAAGACACAACAAGACACGATACAACAAGACACAAAAAGATACAATAATACACGACAAGACAGGACAAGATACTACAAGACACGACAAGATACGTCAGTGAAGACACAACAAGACAAGAGAAGATACAACAAGATATGACAAGAGGAGAAACAACAAGACACAAGAAGATATGTTAATAAAGACAACAAGACAAGATACGACGAGACACAAGATAAGACAAGACAAGATACGACGAGACACAAGATAAGACAAGACAAGATACGACAAGACACAACAAGATACTACAAGACAATATACGACAAGACACAACAAGATACAAGACAATATACGACAAGACACAAGATACTACAAGACAATATACGACAAGACACAACAAGATACTACAAGACGAACTACGACAAGACACAACAAGATATGTCAATGAAGACACACCCAGACAAGATATGACAAGACACAATATTCAACTAGACATGACAAGACACAACATGACATGACACATCAAGAAAAATAAGATATACAGTATATACAACTTGGCATACGACTGCGGCTCGGTGGTAGGGCAGGGTCATCCTTCAATCAGAGGATCGTCCGTTTATTATTTATGTGTTAAACATCTCCAGAAAGTATTGGGTTTCATTGATGGTATAGCTTAAAGATGGGGTCGGCTATTGTACGTCAAAACAAGACGGGACAAGAAAAGATAGGAAAAGATACGACAAGATATGACAAGACAAGACATGACAAGACAGGACAAGATACTTTAAGATACATTAAGAAAAACCTTATTTGATCTCCAGGTAGTAAATTCAGGTGTTGACGCTGAGAACAGATTACATTACATTACATTTTAGTCATTTAGCAGACGCTTTTATCCAAAGCAACTTACAATAAGTGTATTCAACATAGGTATTCAAGAGAACTACTAGTCAGCAGAAGTTATAAGTGCATCTCCTTTTTTAAACAAGCATCTAAGAGCGTAAACCAGAGCAAACGTACAAAGTACATAAGTGCAACAAACTAATACGAATACAAAAAGTGCTAAGTGGAAGGCTCAGGGTACGCCGAAAGATGGGCAGCGACTCTGCTGTCCTGACGTCAGTGGGGAGTTCATTCCACCACTTTGGGGCCAGGACAGAAAAAAGCCGTGACCGGGTCAATCGGCCGCAGGGACCTCTGAGCGACGGGGCAACCAATTGCCCCAAGGCAGCAGAGCGAAGTGGTCGGGCGGGGGTGTAGGGCTTGACCATGGCCTGGAGATAGGAAGGAGCTGTTCCTTTCACTGCCCTGTAGGCTAGCACCAGAGTCTTAAACTGGATGCAAGCTCTTACAGGGAGCCAGTGTAGAGAACGGAGGAGGGAAGTTGTGTGGGAGAACTTGGGGCGATTGAACACCAGATGAGCTGCAGCTTTCTGGACAAGCTCCAGAGGTCTGATGGCTGACGCCGGGGCTCCGGCAAGTAGTGAGTTGCAGTAGTCCAGGCGAGAGATGACAAAAACCTGGATGAGCACCTGCGCCGTCTTGTCAGTGAGGAAGGGGCGAATCCTCCTGATGTTTGTAGAGCAGGAATCTGCAGGAGCGTGTAACCGATGCAATGTTTGCATCGACAGTTGGTCATCCACGACAGTTGGTCATCCAGGGTCACACCCAGATTTCTTGCAGTCCGAGTTGGCGTCTCCACGGTATCATCAATGGTGATGGACATGTCTCGGTGCAGGCAACCCTTTCCCGGGAGGAACAGTAGCTCGGTTTTGTCCAGGTTGAGCTTCAGGTGGTGTGTCGCCATCCACTTCGAGATGTCAGCCAAGCACGCAGCAATGCGTGCCTCCACTTGAGTGTCACAGGGGGGAAATGACAAGACCAGCTGGGTATCATCGACATTACAATGGTAAGAGAAGTCATGTGAGCGAATAACAGAACCCAGAGATGTTGTGTAGAGTGAGAAGACAAGGGGGCCCAGAACTGAACCTTGTGGAACCCCCGTAGTCAGCATGTGTGGTTCCGACATGGCCCCCCTCCATGTCACCTGGTAGGATCGATCTGTCAGGTAGGTAGGATGCAAACAGGGAGAGTGCAGAGCCTGAAACGCCCATCCCCTCGAGGTTGGAGAGGAGGATCTGGTGGTTCACCACGTCAAACGCCGCAGACAGGTCCAGGAGAATCAGGACAGAGGAGAGAGAGTTCGCTCTCGCGGCGTGAATTGACTCTGTCACCGCAAGGAGGTGCTGTCTCTGTCGAGTGACCCACCTTGAACCCGGACTGGTGGGGGTCCAAGAGGCTGTTCTGGTGGAGATAAGAAGACAGTTGGTTAAAGACAGCACGTTCAAGTGTTTTGGATAGAAAGGGTAGAAGAGAAACCGGTCTGAAGTTCTTGACATCAGAGGGGTCAAGTGATGGTTTCTTCAGAAGGGGGGTGACTCTAGTAGTCTTCCAACCACCAGCAGTGGTTAAGGACAGCTACCTACTGATTGCTCATTGTCTGCCAGGAGTGCAAGCCACTCCCCTGGCACTTAACAGGCAATTGACCTAGTGAAACTAAATCACACCTACCTTACACAAAGAGAAACTGCAAAAGCATTAACACTGAAGCAGCCTAGGTACAGCTAATAGCAACTTGTAAAAGCAAGAACAATATACTTAGTCTATTCTAGCTGAGTCAAGTATTTCAGTATCCCTCCAGAAGCCAAATACACTCAGATAAATAGAGAAGTAAAAAAAATACATAAGAATGTATACAACTATAAAATGCATTTCCTGCTGAAAATGCGTTGGAATGCTGAAAGCTGAAATGAATTTAAAAAGAATTGCAAAAAGGCTTTTATTGTAAAATGGAGTGGGGGGGGAGTCCTGGAAAAAGCTGTAAGACCTGAATGACTGTATGACAGACACACACAGAGAGAGAGAGACATACAGAGAGAGAGAGAGAGAGGACTGCGTGTGTGTCTGTGAGTTTATCAACATCACTAATTAGCTTAATCAGAAACACCTGTGTCCTTGCAGCCTTTTCATGAAGATAAAACAGGGAAACACCTCTTGTTAGATCCGGGGGTTCTCTGGCCCGATATGGGGCTACCTACTGACTCAGCTCTCTATTAAAAGATTGGCGAGCTGGTGTTCTGTGAGGAAACTCGCCTGGCTCTGCTAACTACCGTTACTCCTGACGTCTACCCTGCTTCCTCTGGTAACGTGCACTCGGACGAGGGGCCACCCTGGCCGGGCGCTTCTACCAGTCGCGTCAGTTATGGCAGCTTTCCTCTTCTGGATCCGGGCCAGGTTAGATTTTAACGGCTAGGATTACAACTAAAACCGTAAGGGACTGTTAAGTGGACTGGTCACTAGGATAACCATTCAGAACTCTTGTTGTTAAACATACAATAGATTTAACTTTTTACTGCCACGAGGAACTTTTACTACTTAGGCAAATGCATTCTCTTGAGAAATTTACTTTAAATGCAGATTAGATATTTATTGCAGGATATATTAGCAGGGGCACAGCTACAGCTCACATAAAATAATACTATACTTGATTCGATCAGGTTACAATTTCTTCTTAGATTATACTCATTCATTTTCGATGCCGAGGCGGCTCGGTGGAGCTGGATTCACGATGTAATAAAAAGTCCTTTTGGGGTTTTTAGGAGCGAAGGTCTGGCCTGACCTTCGGCTCCTCCTGCGCGGCCAACGAAGTCCGTTCAGCGATCCCTCAGGCTCAGTACAAAGTCTTTAGGGCAGCTGCATCCATCTGTTGTCCAGTTGTTAAAGTCAAACAGGGGGGAGAGGAAAATCTCCGTCTTTCAATCTTTGTCCACGAACGGCTGTCTTCTTTCCGTGAACAGAGACGAAGTCCTCCGATGCTGCTGTCGAACGAGGTCCAGTGTTTCTCCATGGAGCACTTGGTCGGCGTCCCGCAATGAATCCCGTCTTGCTGTTTGCAAGTCTCTCTTTTTATAACACTTTGAGCTCTCTCTCCCCCCCTCCCCAACACTTCCTAACTCGGCACATGATTATCATGACATCATTGATTATGTGTATGTGCTGCGAACAACACCCATCTTTCTGTGTGTGTGTGTGTTCTGGAAACTACCTAACTTCCCTGTGTGGGTGCTCTCACTTCCTAAATGCTCTGAGCATGTGTCAGGTTACACCCGTGTATGTGCTCGGACAACACTCCAACATCTGTTATGATCTCAGCCTTTAAGGCCCCCACCCTGCTTACATCAGCTCTTTCCACACACACACAGACTTCACTTTACTCAGTTACACATACATTATTATCAGTTTTACATTTGTTAAATCACTTCATTATTCTTATGTTATACATACTTGCTTCAAAATGATTATTAGATTTCATCCTTTACTAATTATATGCTTTGTGTCCCTTTAGCCTACTTTCATATCGAACTGTATTCCTTCATTTAAGGCAGCTTTCCTGGGATCTCAACCCTCTTTTTTGACACTCTCAAACAAATCATCAAAACTCCCATAACCGTAGCTCCTATTGCTCCGCTATTAATAAACGAGAGGAAGGATGAGTTGAAGAACAGATCGTGTAAAAATTGTGTCTGTAGTGTAAAAAATGTGGCTTAACTGGCGATCTAGAAATGGGGTACCGTGTTCCGTGGAAGATGTTTTTGAAGCAAAATTTAACATTGGTCTCTATGGAGCAGAAAGTTGGTTTTCCTCTCAATTACAGGCTTCTGTGCCAAATGTGTAAATCTGTGGGATTCCACAGTCATTTGTCTACGACAAGGACAAGATTAGCTACTTTTACATCCACAAATTATGCATGAAGAGTGAAGATTGTGGACTCAGTGGCAAAAGACAAATGTTTTTTTCACAAGAATCTCAAGCTGCTCTTCACTCTAGCGGTGACATCACGCACTCTAAGCTGCGCAATACACACCCATTATAAAGTCAGAAAAGGGCTGAAAAAATGGTGTCTGTAGATAAAAGTATGAGGAAGTAGAAGGATTTGAAAGTTGAAGAAGTTTAAGAGGATTTGAAAATATTCTCCACAGACATCCCATTCAAAAAAAAGTTGCAAAAAGCTTAATAATTCAAAATGTTTAAAGATTAGAAATATGAAAAGTCATAGCAGACATGAGCTGAACATTTTGATAAATTTTGAACGGTTTCTGTAGCTTAAAAAATGAAGAAGAAGAAGAGTTTCGAAAAACAGGGGACGGAAGAAATAGTCGGATGAATAAAGATTCGAAGAACAATAGTGCTTAACAGCATTCCAACAATTAGTGCTGTGTAAATGTAGGCCAGTAAGTACAAGTCATTTCTCCCCTGCGCAATATCAACTGACAGCAATACTTTCATTGTTGGAATACCTACTTTTCTTTTGCTTTTCTTCAAAATAATGCTAAATGTAATGCTCTTGCCTGTTTATCTCCTCCTCAGCAGTGACCAGACCCTACTACGACTTTCTTCTGCGACAGAAACACCCCTCTCTTCCCACTGCTTTGCCCCAGCAGCAAGTCTTCATGCTGGCTGAGCCCAAGCGCAAAACCTCCACCTTCTGGCACAACATTGGCAGATTGACACCATTCAAGAAGTAAAGAAAATTAATCAGAAAGGAAAAGCAAAGCTGTGGACAGAAGGAACAGAGGAAGAGATGAGCTCTGCTCGTGCCTGATAGACCCTTTTTAATAATCAGTTTTCTTTCCTACTCATAACATTGCCCTAATTGACATATTGATTTATTGTAGAGATGAGGATGATTATTATGAGGAGAAGATCATTTTGTGAAAGCACTTTATAGGTTGGTTAACAATCTGACTTAAGAATGGTCTCCTGGAGTCAAACAGGGAGAGTGGACTCTTGCTTAACTTCCTACTACAACACCCTCAATCAAGCGCAGATTGGTAATAATACTACTACTGTACTGCCGTGAGTGACTCCTGATTGTGCTGCCTCTGTGAAGATGTTGGCTGTCTACAAAAATGGTGTCATTTATTTCCACTTTGAATTGTTTTATGATTTCACAGATGCCAAGTGATCACAGTGCCATGCGATATTGTGTTATTTCTTTGTTTTGTCTCTGTTTATGAAAAAAAGGGAAAATTGAGGGAGTAATTTCCTGTTCTTTTCTCTGTACAAATATATAATCATGATCGTTTTGTGAAGTCCATCCGTCAGGATTTGGTTCTGTATGTCTCTGTTGCATTTATGATATTGTGCAAGTGCTTGATTCATGTCATCAAATGCAAGAAGAAGATTCAACTTATCTCAGATTGGGAGCTTTCTATTTAGACAAACAACAGCAAGCCACACTGGCAACACATTCCTCGAGTCTGATCCTCGACTCCTCCTACCATGTCAATGAAAGTAAACCTGTTCTTTCTTTTTCTTTTTTTAAGTGCCATTTAAAGTGTGCCATGGATGATTTACAATGACATGCATGGATGTGATGAAAAAATACTGTGAAGAATATTTTTTTATCTCTGAAGAACCCTGCTATATTTAACCAGATTCAGGAACTGAGGTTTCATGTGCTACTAGGCTGACAGCGTCACAAACTGACGGTCTTTTATCTGTGATAGCCAGTATTTCTGCTCTCTGTTCCTGGTCTCCAGTATTATCTCATTTCAGATCAGTGCAGCTTAGTGATATGACTCTGTAAGTGCATTCAGTGAAATGTGCTCCTTTTACCTTTATGTTCAAATGTTTTAGCTTCTGACGATATGGAATATTAAACATTCCTAAGCTTACAAATGTGACCATCAGTGTTGTTCTGGTCAGCCAACATTAAGTGGAAGTATGGGCAGCAGGTTTAACTTTCAGGTTAAACCGGCTTCTTATGATATTCAAGTGAGGTCTAAAGTTTTAAGCCCCTAAACTTCAAAACTTGTATTCTTAACATTTTTTTATAACAATTTTCAAAAGAAAGTAGAAGTTTGGATTGTTTTACTATTTTTCCTTTACAGGCAGCCATATCCTCTATTCTTTTTTGTGTAGTATGGTCAATTGGTGGACTCTTGAAATTTGCTTAAATTGTTTCATTCATCACACAAGTCTGCTTTTATTGACAGTGCAGATTATACAGACATTCTTTAACATCTATGGCTCTTTTTACGGCCGCGACCAATGTTTTTTTAAATAATTAATTTTTTACAATATCTGCACATGGTAAAAGGCTGGGTAAACATTGTGCTTGCTGTTGATGATTGCTGCTGATTTCAGGTCTGTGATGAGATGCAAACTCGAGTTTCTAGCATTAAAGGGAGAGTCCCGGAGTCATACAACGGAGTATGAGGTACTTATCCATTGTCAGTGTATTACCTACAGTAGATGGAGTTTGATGAAATAGATTAATGCTTTTCACTTTCAGATCAGTTCCCCGTCAGAAAGAGCTGAGTGACAGAAAGATAAAGCGGTGAAAATATTCTAAATATAATGTTCTCTTAAACTGAAACCATTTTTGACTTGACCTTACTTGAATTGGACTCTAGCTCAAAGACTTGAGACTTGACTTAGATTCTTAGAATCTCTGGACTGTAGTTGCCCATTTAGTTGTTGTAGAGTGACATGACATGTGTGGTGGAAAAAAATCTTTTTAACCTCCGGTGAGAAATAAGCGAAATGAGAAGACTCTTAAACGATTAAAAACATATTTATTGAAAATATACTAATAATAATTCAGCTGAATAGATAGAGCTCTTTCCCCACAGATGGTTCGGAGGTCTAACAAGAATGAATAGTTAAAACAGAGTATACATTATCTCGTCTTTCACCCCCCCTCCCTTCGCAGATGTTCTTCTTCTCCTCTGTCTGCCGATGCATCCACCAAGACCAGGTTCCCAGCCTTGGTATTGTTTTCGTGCGCAGAGAATTAAGTGGTGAAATCAGGATGACGTCATAGCAAGCCAGACATGATATGCCTTAGATATGATAACATTTATTATTATTTGGAATTAAATTAGTCTAGTTGGCGTCGTCTGCATATATAAAGGTTTAAGCGATACAAGTTATAACTAAAAGAACGATATGATACATTTCCACAACAATTCCCCCTTTGGCCATTCATATGGCCATTAAAGTATTTACAATTTATCGAAACAGCAACACATATGACCAAAAATGGTTTATCATTAATCGATAAGGTTAAAGCACTCTCTGTTTTGTGGGATCATATTTCTCAGATAGCTGTAATAATGAACCTAAGTATTACACAGAAATGTCACTGTCGTAGTCCTATGGGAGGAAAACAGTTGGGCAATGGAAACAATTGTTGCAGGATTGGCCTTTTTACACTAAAAAGTGGGATGCCTAAAATGTTTTGGATCTTTGGCACACTCTTCTTCTATCGGTACAAGCATAGGCTGTGGTCATGTTTTAAACACGTCACAGTTGGTGTGCTGCTGAACTGTGAACTTAGCATATTCATACCACTTGTTATTTAATGTTTGGCTAAATGGTTTTACAAATCGTTTCTTCAATCTAGTGGTTGCTGGTTTTGGTTCTTCTCACTATAATTGTTTGCATTTGGTTGTACATTCTTTGGTTGCCATGATTTCTCATGCATCAATTATTAAGAAACACAATTATTATTGCACAGAAGAGCAGAAAACACATTGAACCTCTTAGGCCACACCATCCCGGAATGGGTGCCACGGTGCTGGAGATCTGCCTTCCATTGCGGCGTCATCTTTGCACATATGATTTTACCTCCTACCACACTGATTTCTGTATGACAGCTTTGCAGTTTGGGAAACTCGGGTTGCTACCCTCTTCTCTCTCCCCAGCCACACAAAATGAGTGAGGTGATCGGCTACATGTTTGATGCGTTGTTAGCAAACAATACATTTTCTACAAAATACTAAAAAACAGTGAACCCTCTTGTGTACCATGCTAAATTAATAAAATGTGATATGTTCTATCGATATAATTTCTTTACTTTGTTTCCAGTAACTGTTTATTTGAGTCTAGTTTTAAAACCTGAGGTCTACAGATAAATGATGCTCCTTAGTTATTCTCTGACAAATCACTACAGTAATTAAATACCCCTGCAGTATAGTATAGCAAAGTTCAACTAGGTCCAGTTAGAGAGAATTTCCTCATCAAAGGGTTACAATACAATACACAATAATGTCTAACTTGCACTATAGTCCCATGTATATTGAAGTAGCTAACAGTCGTATTAACGTCTGTACTTAGCAACTGACTGTCAAATCAAATAAAGAAAGTTAAATTGAATAATATTTCAACAATGTTTATTGTCCAATTTCAAATTGAACTGAATTATAAATAATACATACTCTGATAATAAATAAATGTTCTCTCATTTCAAGTAAAATAAGAGCTGGATAAAAAAAAACATTACATAACAGAAAGCTTTTGAAAAATGTGGCCCTTAAAATAAAGTACTTCATTTTAGAAAATTTGACTTAACTGACTTGTCCTGCAGCTTTAAATTCAGTTCATTCAGGTGTGAAGTGATATCAACCAAGAAAACCACGATACTATATTTTCATCATATTCTAATAAGAGAAATGTGTGTGCAAGGACTTTATCTGTGGTTATTATCCCACTTGTTTCAGCTCTAGTCCTGTCTGTTATCATCATTGTTGGACAGTGAATTAATGTGTTAGGATGCTGATCATAATGAGCTCTTAGATTGTTTTGCCTTCATTTCGGATGTGAGTGGGTACATTTGCTCAAAAGAGTTATGCTTTGTCTCGTAATGGCGCTTCACATTACCGCTTTTAACTATAGTCATGGTCTCTGAACATATGAGATCTACTGGTATTAAACTGCCCGTGTGAAGAATTAACCTATAAGAGTCCATTCTTGGTTAAAGACTCTGGTCTCTCTGTCCACTTTTCTCTTTTTGGAGAACGTCATGTGGAATAACTTCTGACTCACGTTATTCTTCTACTCTTCGTTCTCTTTCCTCATCCAACCCCGTGTGTGTAAATCTCACTTGAGTTGTAAAACTCGATATATACGTATGTGATTGGCTGACCAGCATCACGTGATGTGATTTACAACGCATGCAATTGGTCGGTGTGTTTACTGCCCCACTGAACGAGTGCCGTAAAGGCTGGAAAAGCTGCGCTGGTTACAGTAAAAGCGCCCCATCAAAATTGAATAATTCGCAATTATCTATCGGTTTTAGGTCCAGAGTCCGCTTATTGGTGACCCCTGCTATACTGTATTAGGCCAACTGTTCAGTGAAAACACATCTTATTGTAATTTCTAAATAAATAACGTATGGATATTTATTGTTGCAGTTCTTTTACATTCCCTAATGTCAGTTACCAACTAATTTGAATACAGTGATATTCATATTGTTTAATATAGAGGGCCAGCTCATCACGTCATGTGTTTTCATGAGAATTTGATATACCGTATTTTCCGCACTATAAGGCGCACTTAAAAGCCTTTAATTTTCTCAAAAAATGACAGTGCACCTTGTAATCCGGAGCGCCTTATATATGGATCAATTGGTTAATTGGTTGATCTATACTGGTTGTACACGGCGCTCTGTCAAAATGTTTCAGTACGACTGATAAACTACAAAGCCGCACCGTTTGCAGCATTACGGCTACCGTAGTCAGGGGCGTCGCCGAAGTAATAGCGGTAAACACCGGTACTGTGCTTACTCCTAGTCCAACACCACTTGTGTGTATAAAGACCCCAAAAGGCACCTTTCAAGAGACACGCTTACGACGCTGAGTTCAAACTCAAGGCTGTCAGCTACGCAGCCGAACATGGGAATAGAGCAGCAGCGAGAGAATTCAACATTAATGAATCAATGGTACGGAAGTGGAGGAAGCAAGAAGATGACCTGTGCCAAGTAAAGAAGACTAAAAAGAGTTTCCGAGGGCACAAAGCGAGATGGCCACAGTTAGAGGACAAACTCGAACAGTGGGTTGTTGAACAGAGAGCAGCAAGTAGAAGCGTCTCTACAGTCACTATTCGAATGAAGGCAACAGCGCTAGCACAGGACATGAACATCGATGAATTTCAAGGCGGTCCTTCTTGGTGCTTTCGTTTTATGAAAAGACGTAATCTCTCAATCCGCACACGAACTACCGTCTCGCAGCAACTGCCAAAAGATTACCAAGAAAAGATGGCCACGTTCCGCGCATACTGCAAAAACAAGATCACTGAAAAGAAAATCCGGCCAGAGCACATCACCAACATGGACGAGGTTCCACTCACCTTCAATATTCCCGTGAATCGCACTGTGGAGAAAACGGGGACCAGTACGGTGTCTATACGCACCACAGGGAATGAGAAGTCATCCTTCACTGTAGTTCTCGCCTGCCAGGCTAATGGCCAGAAACTTTCACCCATGGTTATTTTCAAAAGGAAGACCTTGCCAAAAGAAAACTTTCCAGCCGGCGTCGTCATTAAAGCTAACTCGAAGGGATGGATGGATGAGGAGAAGATGAGTGAGTGGCTGAGAGAAATTTACGTCAAGAGACCGGGTGGCTTTTTCCACACAGCTCCGTCCCTATTGATTTACGACTCCATGCGCGCCCATATCACCGATGGTGTCAAAAAACAAGTGAAGAAAACTAATTCGGAGCTTGCCGTCATTCCGGATGGATTAACTAAAGAACTCCAGCTGCTAGATATTGGTGTCAACAGGCCGTTCAAAGCTAGACTGCGAGCTGCGTGGGAGCAGTGGATGACAGAAGGCGAACACACGTTCACCAAGACGGGGAGACAGCGCCGAGCAACTTATGCCACTATTTGCCAATGGATCGTGGATGCCTGGGCTGATATATCAGTCTCAACTGTGGTCCGAGCTTTCACGAAGGCAGGAATAATCACTGAACTGCCAGGCAATAGCAGCGACACTGACTCGGATAATGACGAGAGAGAGCCGGGCATGTTGGATGCCGTACTCGCCCAACTGTTCAATTCGGACACTGAAGAAGAAAAATTCGAGGGATTCGTGGACGGGGAATGAACTGAAAAAGTGAGCTTTACGTGTTATATACGTACCATAACTGAACAATGTTGAGTTATGCACTAACTTTTGATTTAGCGGTATCAGATTGTGTTTCTTTTACGTGTTTACAACTGAACAAGGCTGGGAGATATTGTGAATATGCACATTAACGTTTGAACAACGTTGAGTTATTGTGAATGCACTAACTACGTTTTATACGTAAGTTGAACAATTTCGAGAGTTACTATATTGTGAATGCACTAACATTTGATTTAGTGGTATCAGACTGTTTCTTTTACGTGTTTACTGAATCAGGGAAAAGTTCCCCTCTACGTTTAAGTTACCATATTGTGAATGAAATCAAAAATCAATAAAGTTTGACTGAATGATTTATCTGACTGTTTTGTTGACATTCCCTTTAGCACAGCTCCATCTAGTGGATGCATAACGCAACCCCTGTCAAACGTTTGACTGTAGTAGCTTCTATTCTATGCGCCTTATAATCCGGTGCGCCCTATATATAAAAACAGTTCTAAAATAGGCCATTCATTGAAGGTGCGCCTTATAATCCAGTGCGCTTTATAGTGCGGAAAATACGGTAGTATAAAAGAGGTAAAATGTTCTTAAACATTTATACTAACTGTATCTAAGTGGTGTTCTTATTTGCTTTGATGAGACAGTTGAAGAAAAGGATTACAACCTGCATGGGAGAGTTACCAAAGTAAAAGTATGTAGATTTAATCTAAATAAATAATAATAATACAATGACATTATTCCCCCTTTTGCCAAGTTATCTCTGCTGTGAGCTAATTTAGCGTAGCAATAAAAGAGATCACGTGGCAATTGTCTGGGCCCATCCATATATAATTTTGTAAACTGGATTAGATGAGGCCAAACACTTTCGCTCTTTAGGGATAGCCTAAATAGCAATTCTTGAACATTATACATCAAAATAATCTGAACAATCAGAAGCATGAGCATCACATTTCATAACATAATACAGACAGTTTTAGGGAGCAGTATGGCTTCTAGCAAGTCGGCCACGAGACGGTGGTGGGAAATGGGCTTGTCAGAAAGCCTCTGTGTTTCCACAGGGCACCAAAGTCGTGCACTACACCAAAGGCGTAGCAAGAGTCTGTGTAAATGTTAACTATTTTGTTGGCAGCATGCTTACAGACTTCTGTAAGAGCCACAGGATCTGCAGCTTGAGCAGAAAAGTGTGATGCAAAACTTATCGGCGCACAGTGTCATGTGATGAGACTACAGCAAACCCAACCAACCCTTCTCCCGTGTCCGGCGAGCAGGATGCCAAACCGTCCACTAACAGTTTTATAAATCAGCATTTGGTGGGTGTGTCTGTGAGGTCTCTGTGTGTCAGCTCATTGATTGGCTGAAGTCCAATAAGCCCCTCCTTGGCCCTTGACCCATTGTCCTAAATGAAATCGGAAATTAAAACTTTCCTTGACTTTAATGACAATGGGGAAGTGAACCCAAATATATTATGGGACACCTTAAAAGCAGTGATCAGGGGCAAATTAATATCTCTCAGCTCAGCTCTCAAAAAAGGAAAAGAAAATAAACTTAAAACCTCTAGCCCTATTTTTAGGCCTCTGCTCAAAAATTGCATACCCATACTAAAGAGAGTGTATTTCTGCAACTACAAGGTCTATTTTAATAATTTTGATTGTATAATACAGGTAACACTTGTGAGATGTGCTGATATGTGTAAATATTGTGTATATGTTACTGGTTAATAACATATACACATATGGCACAGCTCAAATTGAAAAAGTTTCAGGTTCGCCTGAAAAAAAAGCACTTGTGTCTAAAATATTACTTGAAATAATGCCTAAAAATGTCAATGGCATAGCCACAGTCATAGCACAACAGGTTTTACAGTCTCTAAAACAGATTTGACTTCGATTGAGTGAAGCAGGCCAGCATAAACCAAGCAAAGGCAAGCAAAATTCTCATTTT